GTTTCTGTGCGAGCGAAATCAGGCAAACGTTTTGGTGAACAAGTCTTGGACCCATGAGGACACTGGTCCAGAGCGCTGGCCTAGGTTCCACCCCGAGTGTCACCACAGCCTCAGCCGTCAATTTAAGTATCGGCTGCAACAACGCTTGGAAACTGTAAGGTGTTGTCCGAGCCGGCGATGATCCTCTTAACCCAGGTGAGGGAAATGCGTTACTTGATCCTTGGCCTGTCTCCTCCTGTTCTGGCTGATTCTCCGAGATAGGGCTTCTTAGAGGTCTGCATTAAGTGACAGGGAGTGTCTGTCATTATGAACAATGACAACAGTGGCTGAAACAAAATCTTGCTTCCTGTCTCACCTCGTCTAATTCTCACACTGAGGTGGGGCAAAATCAAAAGCAGCATCTAAAACCTGGCATTTGGAGAGGCCAAACCCCATCTTATAAATAATGCTTAAAAGCCTGGCTTTTCTACACAAAGGGAACAGGACAGGGGATCCCTCTTCAGTCCCATTTGCCACAGAGGTGAGACTGACCTGAGATACCCACGGCGATGGCAGAGGGGCCTGGGAGGCCGGCCCTGCGTCCAGCCTGCACATTTTGAGGTTGAGAACAGAAATCCACAAGCAGGGTGTTATGCGTTGAATTGTGTCCCCTAACCAGATTCATGTTAAAGTCCTAACGACCAGCACCTCAGGATGGGACCTTCTTAGGAAATAGGGTCCTTGCAGATGTAATTAGTTAGGATGAGGTCATCCTGGAGGAGGTGAGCCCCTAATTCGGTGTGACTGTGTTGTTATAAAGAGGAACCTTCAGAAAGAACCAGCCCTGCTGACACCTTGGTAGCACACTTTCAGCCTCCAGAGCTGTGAGGCCATCAGCCGCTGTTGTTTAAGCCCCCAGTCTGAGGTGCACGGTTAGGGCAGCGCCAGGAACTAACACACGGGAGAGCTGTCTGCTGGGATGTGTCCACATTTGAGATGTGGAGACTCATCACTGCTGCCCCACCTGGTCCTCACGGCTCAGGGGGAGAAGAGAACTGGCCGTCTCTTGAAAAAACTTTCAGTCTAGGACTAGGCACTTGGATGAGAAGTTAGCCTAGACGAGGGGGAGTCTCAGATTCTTGAATCCGAACCAACTGGTGTGTGGGAAGGAGAAGTCGTCTTCTTTACTGTCGAAGGAACTTCAGAGGCCCTAAAATCCAAACCCTCATCTTACAGGTAAAGGATGCTCAGGGTGTGCCCTGAATGCATACCCCTCCCCCTCTCCCAACCCCTCACCTGCACCTCAGCCTCCTCTGGGGCCCAGCCTGGGTTCCCCTTCCCTCCAGGCATTTCTGTCCCCACACCCAGCAAAATCAACGACACTGAATTCAACAGATCACTCTGAATAGGACCAGCAGCCCTGCCCGAGGGAGTGGAGACCCTGGCCCGAGAGTCAGCTCTCTGTCCCACGTATCTGATCCTCCCAGGAGCCTCCAAGGTAGGGGGTGATGTGGCCACTCTCACCAGTGTTTGGGTCATCCCGTATCCCAGGGACTCAAGTTAGAGCCCGAAAGGAGGATGCATGTACCCAGCTCAGCTGAAGACACACCTCCACACTTTGGGAGGCAAACTTGCATCTTTTCTGGTAACAAATACTAACCTTGTCCTGAGCACTCATGGAGAACTCATTATACCATTGACTGATCTCTTTGATAAATTAAAAGTTTCTTTTGTCACTGATGGAATGAAAGAGGGGAGCTAGCCCTCTTTTGCCAAGGGTCCCTCCCAGAAAGCCAGTATAAGCCAAGGCCCCTGTGGTTGAATGACGGATGGTCACACTCCTTTAAGGCTCTCTCTTCCTGCAGCTGCAGCTGTGGATGGTATCTCGACATCAGGCTTGCAGCATCCTTGTGTAGAAGGGAACTGGGGCTTTGGGGCTCCATGGGTTTTTTGGGGGGGTAATTAGATTTACTTATTTATTTATTTATTTTTGGAGGAGGTACTGGGGATTGAACCCAGGACCTCATGCATGCTAAGCACATGCTCTACCACTTGAGCTATACCCTCCTCCTGGGGCTTCATGGTTTTAATCAAACCTTTTTAGCTTTTTTTTTAAATTAACATATAATTCACATGACACAAAATCTACCTTTTTAAAGTGTCCAATTCAGTGGTTTTTCTTATATTCACAAGGTTGTATCACTGTTGCCACTAACTGCAGAACATTTTAACACTGTGCCTTTTTATTCCCACTTGTGTTCTATGGAGATCAAAAAGAGAAAGAAACAGCTTACTCTATATAACGAAGAAGGGATGTGTGTCTTGCACAGAAGCCCTCGATGTAGCAAGCAGGGCTGGGGGGACCCCACCTGGGACCAGCCTCCCGGGCCTGCACCTCCACCCACACTAGTGATCTGTGTGCACAGAAAAGGAATAGATTGTCTCTGAGGCTCTGTTTCCCCATCTTTAGAAATTAATAATGGTAATAATGATCTGTCCCACTTACAACAAGGAAATCCCACCTCTCTTAAACAACAGAACATGGAGTCTGCTTGGGTTTGGTGCTGAGAAGGAGAATCTTCTGGGGGCAGCCTGATCTGATCAAAGACCTGGCTCTGTCCCTTGCCTCTTCTTTCTGTCACCCCCTCCCACCTCCTTGTCCCATTCCCTTTTGTTCCGCCACCAGCACGCTGCCCCCTCCCCCATGGTGGATTCCACTCCCTTCCCAGGATGGACATTCTCATAAAGACGCACTAAATACCCAGGGAGGGTGACGGGGAATGGAAACCCGGCGTGTATTATTTATTTATGCCCTGCTGAGTTCCCCAAGGTATTGAGGACAGCGTGTAAAGATAATTTAATTTGACAAGATTGGTGTGGGGTGAGGTAATCAGAGAGAAATAAAAACGAGGGGAGGGAAAAAATGAGATGGAGCCTGGGTGAGGCTGGGACGGGAGGTGCGGATGATGATTTAATAAACGCTTGTGTCTTACAAATACAGACTCATTTAATCCTCCTGACAACTGGGTGAGGCAGGTGCTATTATTATACTCGTTTCAGAGACAAGGAAGCCCAGGCACAGGAAGGTTGTGTAACTTGCCCAAGGACTCCCAGCTACCGAGTGGCTGACCCGGGATTTGAACCGGCGGCCTTGGTGCGAAGCGCGTGCAGCCCCTGCTGCTGCAGCTGCTTCCTGACGTCACAGGCACGCACGGCGTGGGCGGGGCCACCGGAGCGGGAGCAGGACCTATAGGAAATATCTTTCAAGTCTTGGATTTTGTCTCAGAAATCATATCCTTTTGCATGTTATTTCATAATATTTCTCTATCTGTGTACCGGGATATTTAAAATTAGACTTTTTTTTTTCTGAGTTTCAACTGGGGCCACCGTTTTTGGTAGCCCGCTCTGTGCCGGGGACTCTGCATACAGTATCGCTAATCTTTGTGCTTCTGGAAGGTGGGGATTGTAACCCCGATGTCACAGAGGGAAAACGGAGGCTCAGAAAGTTCACGTGACGGGTGCGCGCCGAGGTCCACAGGGAGGCCCTCTGGTCCAGCTGGCCGCCCTCCCACCACTCGGATGTGCTTCCCTGGATTTCCAAAAGAGATGACAGCAGGAATGGAATCTCTTCGAGACCCATCCTTGCTGGGGTCCAACACCCATGCGGAGTTTTGTGGATTCTCTCAGGGGCTCCAGGCAAGGAAGCTCCTTTTGGAAAGGAAAGTCCTATCTGGGTGCCCCCCCCCCGAGGAAACAGGCTCCAAACAACCTGCTTTCTTCATTTATATGTTTGTATCTTGTGAACAGTTCCCAGGAGTTTAAGCAAATGCTAGCCCATCAGAATTGTTCTCTTAATGATTATATTCGTTTGTGTTAGGAAACAGCTTAATTGGCAGTAAACTTATCCCAGCTGGAACACTACAAGATCATAGGTGACTTCTCTGCAGTGTACGTTTCCCTCAGAGCGGGGGTCTCTGGACCTGACCCAGGTAGGGAACATGGACTCATTTCCAGGAGGAGAAGGGTGTGGCCCAAGGGCACAGGAGGCAACAAATTGGCAAACGAAGCCAGATTCACAACCCCTGGGTCCATCTTCCCTACACTTTGAAGGGCTGCTCCTCAGAAGCCAGCACCGATAGTGGGAAAACCTTCTGGTTTCTGGCTCTGCTCCTGGAGAGGCCTGTGTGAACGTTCAGCTCGGCAGGACTGGCCTTGTCTGGAAGTCACACAGGGTCACAGAAGGTGTCTGAAGTAGAATGTAAAGTCAGTCAGCTGCAGGTCTGACTATTCGGCATTTTCCAGAACATAGAGGAGAGAGAGAGAACAAAGATGCTGAATTTTAAAAAGAAAACTCACAAAATGCACAGTTCCTTTCAGGTTGTTGTAATTTTTTAAAAATCTGATTTTTTAAAACGTTGGGTGAGGACTAACAGTGTTCTTCAGACTCCAATTCTAATAAACTCTAAAATGTCAATAGTCAGTCCTCAAAAATTTATTGAGTACCTGCTATGTGCCAGGCACTGTTCTCGGTGCTGGAGACAGTGGGCAAGGACAAAGCCAGAGTCCTTGTCCCAGGGGTTGGTTTACATTTTACAGACACAGGATCTTAGGTACAGATACATGGGGGGAGATTATCAAATGAGGCCGCGTGGCAGAAGGTAACCAGGAGGACCATCTAGCTGCTCAGAAAGGGCCTCTCCTAGGAGCAGGTGCTGAGCAGAGGCCTGAACCAGGGGGTGGCAGGCAAATGTCTTGGTGGATTGCAGCAGCCCAGCTGAAGGAGCAGCACCAGCTGAGATCCTGGGATGGGGATGGTGTTGGCTGATTCAAGGTATAAAACCAGGCCAGGGGGCTTGGAGCCTGGTGAGTGAGAGCAGGAGACCATGGGGCAGAGCATGGATTTTATCCCAGAGGGGTAGTCTCTGGAAGGTTTTAAGCAGCAGAATGGGCTGTGGATGGGGCTGCAGATGGGTGAGCAGGGAGGCAATGAGTGGGTTGGAGCTACGGTCACTTGTGTGAGTCAGGAGACAGAAACCGCATTTGTAATTTGCACGGCAGAAATGTAGTAAAAAGAATGATCAACTAGTAAAGGTGATGTGATAGGTTGAAATGTGTCTCCCCACCTCCAAAACCTAGGTTGAAGCCCTGATAACCCACAGCACTTGTGAACGTGATCTTATTTGGAAATAAGGTCTTTGCAGATGTAATCAAGTTAA